GGCAGTGATCCCACAAGATCCACCTGCCACCATGTTAGGAGCATTCTCTTCTCAGGTTTTCTGACTATCTCCATGTGGCACCCAGTGAGCCATGAAGGGTACATCTACCCATCAGGGGCATTCTTTCTTGGGTTTACGCAGCACCTGGTGGGCCACAGACCACACGGTCTTGCAGCCAGCATGCTGCATTCTCTAACGCAGCCAGCCAGCTACATCGGCTGCTGGAGCTCTCTCCAGACATCTTACCTTAGCCAGTGCATCAGCTTCATCATTGCCTGGACCAGCTAAGGGGAAATGTCCTGTGCCGTGGAAAAGGCTTACTTCCTTTCTATGTCCCAATTCCCATAACTCTTGCCACATGGCTTGTCCCCACAGGGGTCGGTGACATACCAGCCACCACTGATATTTCCAAGTATATATCCGAAGGGTAAAACCCTTATATACGACCCACTCACATTGTTTCACATGACCTAGCAACGTTGGGGCCGCCTTGGTTAAATCTGCAAGAGAATCAGAGGTTAGTAAGACATCATCTATGTGATGAAACATTGTAACCATGCTGGGCCTAGTCCACCTGGCTAGGTCCCCAGCCACTAAACCATGACAGATGGGTGGGCTATTCAGGTAGCCTTGGGGCAACACCTGGAAAGTCCAGTGCCTTCCCTCCCAGGTGAAGACAAATTGATCTTGGCTATCAACTGAGGTTAGGATAGAGAAAAAAGTATTTGCAATGTCCACTATATAATGATATGTTCCTAGCTGAGTCATCAGCTGATCTGTCAAGTCGTGAACTGAAGGCACAGCTGCGTGCAAAGGAGGCACTACTTTGTTCAGTTCCCCATAGTCCACAGTTACTGTCCAGGTGCCATCAGGTTTTTTCACTAGCCATACCAGGGTGTTAAAGGGACTGTGTGTGGGACGAATGATGCTGACCTTTTCTAGCTCCAATATAGTGGCACCTATCTCCACACGTCCTCCCGGCAAGTGATGCTGTTTCACACTGACCACACGCCTTGGCTCGGGTAACACCTGTGGATCATGCTTGACGTGTCCCCACAGCACAGGCTTTACTGTCCATATACGCAGCTGGAATTCTCCAACCATTGTTTGCAGGTGTAACCGATAAAGTACATCTGTACTCAAGATGTATTCGGATACAGGAGCTATATACACAGTGTGCACACGAGGGGGCAATCTTTCAATGCTCAGCGGCAAAGACACAGCTTTAACTATAATAAAATGTCTCCTAGAGCCATCAGCATTCTGGAAACTTATCTGGGTTGCCATGTATCAGGCTACAATCTGCGCTGGTGTCCACCAACGTTAACACACACTGCACATTTGTCTCAGACCGACGTATTATCAGTTCAACACGAGGCCTCCGGTCCTCGTCTGCCCCCAAAAGACGAGCACCTTGGCCTGGTCCCTAGCCAAAAGAGAACAGTCCATCTGCTTCCACAGAAGTAACCAAAAAATCTTTTAAATTCACTGGGTGTAACTTGCCACCTGTTTCTGGATGTTTAGCAAAACGCTGTTCAGGGCACAATTATTGCCACAAGGCAAACAAGAGCGCATTTGGTTGCCTGTCAATTTTTTCCCTGTCAACTCCTGCCATAAGCGAGTCAAACCACATCTGCATATGGCTGGTCTTGCTAGGTCCCTTCAGGGTAAAATCCCGAGAATTTCTTGGGGATTGAGTCTTCACCACCTCTCGGACCCCCTCTGCTTATCTCCTCCCCTCTGCTTCACCCAGACTGGCCATCATGGTCATTACTTCATGTATCGGATGACCAACATATGGGGCCAGTATGGCCATTAGTGACCCAAAGGATGTCGACGGAGCATTTTGCAGCTCTACGCCTCTCATGTTGCTGGTAAAACATTCATCATCTGGGCCACAGGTGTTCACATTAAACACGGACTGTTGCATCCCCAGCTCCCAAATTACTTGAACCAGCTCAGCATAGGTTTGCCACCTACTCACAGCTTCGGGCAGTTCTCTGGCATTTGTCCACATGGTCTGGATGGCTGCATCCACCCATTCCATCAAGGAGTGGTTGTGTATCCACGGCTGTTCTGTAGCCACTGCCACGGGGACAAGTGCGTGGCCATGGAAGCCAACTTTTCCATCTCCTCACCAGAGCACATCACACTGTCCACCCCTAGGTCCCACAGTCGCAAAAGCCACGCAGCTAGGGGTTCGCCCTGTTTCTGGGGAAACTGTTTCTCTAAGTCCACTAACTCAGCGTGACCGTAGGGGACATAAGCTGTGAATTGGGTCACTTGTGGATTATCTACTGGTTGCCCACCTTGTCCTATGGGCTGTTCATGCTTCAGTTTCTGATGCACAACAGGTCGTGCCAGAGGACGCACAATCTCCCCCAACTCACCATTGGCTTCATCATCGTCTCCAGTGTTGGAAGCAGGAGTGATGTGTTGCTGTACTGCAGCCTCCGGAACAAGTACCCATGCTTCCAACAAGTCTGCTTTCTGCTGCAAATCTCGAAGCTGCGCCACTTCGTGGAGTGCCTGGTCTATGTTGACTCGTAGTACAGTGAGCAATAGCCAGACCCCGGCCAACAGGAAAGAGGTTGCCAGGTACCACATACTCGAGGGTAGCCACATTTCCTCCCACCCCCGAGGGGCTATTGGCTCTTTTACCTGCTTGGAATCCTGCCGACAACTATGCCAATGGTGGGCTGGATCACAGACCCCATTGCCCCCGCCTGTGCAGGTCCTGAGTCAGGTAGTCAAAAGGAAAACTCAGCAGCTGCCAGCAAAGTGGACGTACTTTATTCTTCAGACACGAGCTCCAACGACCAGCGGTTCAGGGCCCCTGCCTTCCATACCGAAAAGTACACAATAGCAGCAACGAGCCAAGGGGTACACGGGCACACACGTGCACTAACTCTACTCTTACATAACTTGTTTACAACGGATGAGCTGAATCATACCCAGCCAGATATGAGGCGAGAGGGCCTGACCAAATCAACTCCACTTTCCTCACAGTGTCCATGGAGCAGCGGGTTCAGGACAGAAAACAAACACGATGGTTTAGAAAGTGAGATAATCAACTTTTGCTCTGGACAAAATGGCAGCAGGACTCTCATCCATGATGGAGTTTAGCACCATTCCCATGGCCAATCTCAGACGTAAAAGCTCACGCCTCAGCAGCAGAGTGGGGTCCTCCATGCCTGGCCCAAAATGACTTCACTGGAAGTAGCAGAGCTCCAGCCAACAATGAGTAAGGCTGAGAGCTAACTAACTCTTTGTCAATAAGTCTGTGGGATGGAGAAGAGTTCCCAATAACAGGAAATAAAGGTAGTGAGAGAGAAATAGTAAGCGTTCCAGCAGCCCACATACATTTGAGTGGCACAAATGCCACTTCAGGAGATTTTTTTCCCTTTGCATTTTCCCTAGGAACGTGCTAGCGACGTGCTAGCTTACACGTAAGCACTACGTGTAAGGTACCTATAGCAAATGGACAGGGAGAGAGTACTCCACAGGAAGGTGGGAGAAGAAAACCCGAGGCCTCGAGCTGAATCCAAGCCACAGTTAGCATTTATATTGCATTCTGCATTTCTCCAATCCCTTCACATTTGTTAACGAGGCCTGTACTCAAGCAGTATCATTTCCATCTCCAGCTGGAAAAATAGGCGCCAGGAAAGTGCATTTTCCCAAGAGACGAAATACTCTCAAAAGTCACACCTCATTGCCCTCTCTGCAGGGTATCCTGGGCAGAGCAGACACTGCTTCCTTATGAGGAAGTAGGGATACTTCAGAGAGCTCTCTGGGGCAAGAGCAGAGTGAAACTGGGGGGAAGGGCCCTGGGCGGAGCATGTGCAGCAGCCCAAGGCTGCCCCTGCTCAGGCATTCCACAGCCTACAAAACACCTCCCACCTTGCTGTCCTTCCCTTCATACCTAGACTTACTAAGAGTGTTCTGCCTTCCACTGTTTTCCTTCCTGATCCCCAATACCTGTATTGTGAAGCTCAACAGAACCTCAACTCGGAGGACAGCTACTTCCTCAGAAATCACTACTTTTGCCCCATCTCCACGAGGCCCCTTCGTCCTGACTGCTCTGTAACACAACAATGCTGCCACACAGTACAACCCAGACAGTCGTGCGTGGGAGACCTGGCTCTCCCATTTGCCAGCTCTGTGACCTTGCGCAAGTCACTTGACTTCCTTAAGTCTGTTTCCTTATCTATAAAATACCTCTCGGTGCTGTATGGTGTAGGTAAATAGCAGCACAGTGCCTGGTGTGCAGCGGGTGCTCAAGAAGTGGTACTCACCTCCCAGCCGGTGACTTACCCAGCTTTCATGACCCTGACAGTTGTACGAAGCCTTTCCTGAACCTCAAACTATAAAGTCTAACCTACTCTTCTGCACTTTCCTCTTGAAATCTATATTTAGACCATATTACTTACTTATATACTTTCCTGAATTCCCCTATCAGAACATAAGCCACAGGTTAAATGTCTGCACCTCAGACTCATGGTCCACTTTTCCTACCCCAGGACCTTCGCACGTGCTGTCCCCTTGGCCTGGCATGCTCGCTCCTCCTCGAAGAGGTCTCTTCCAGTGACCAGTTCAAAGCTGTCTCTCTGCCTTTCTGATTTTCACTCACAGCACATATCATAACTGCATTACATATTCACACGTCTTCCTGTCCCCGATGAGACACAAAGAACCGTGAGGAAGCTGGAACCCCAGCCTCTAGCACACGCCTGGCACGAAGAGAGCACTGGATACATCGTCAGTGAGTGGGAGCAGGCAGTAAGAATGCACGTTCCAATGGCCGTGCTTCCTTCGGTGGGTGAGGCTTTCTGCCCAGCAAGACCCAGCCCTGGTGAACCCGGTCAGTCCGCCCCGCTAAGCGCCCCGGGGAACTGAAATACACAGACCATCGCTCAGAGCCTCAGGGCCCGACGCGCCATTGCCATAGCAACGGGGGGCGGGCGGCGCCTGCGCGAGGCGCCCCCGGAAGTGACGTTTGAAAGGCGCCGGGGTCGCGCCATGGCCCTGGAGGCCGCCGGACGACCGCCGAAGGAAACCCTGTCGCTCTGGAAACGGTAATGGAGCCGGGGACGCGCAGGAGCCGGCGGCTGTGGCCCCGTGGCTCTCCGCGGACCCACCGACCTCGTAACCGCCCGGCCGTGGGGGCGGGGCGCACAGGCCTTCGGGAGTGTGGTCGCCGCGGCGCG